AACTTATCATTACTATAGATATATCTTTTTAGAAAAGTAAATATATATATTCTAGTAGACCTTGAAATTCTCTGCCTCTATATCTTTGTCTATTCTCTTGTACTCATTTATAGACAAATAGTTTGAGTACAGCGAAAGGGCCCTCATTAGACAAATACGAAAAGTCTCGATTTTTTCTGTACTTGTATACTTTTCTTTTTAAAATTACTATCCTTATCAGAAAAACTATAAAACAACTATAGATTCTGAAAGAGCTTGAAATTCTTTGTCGTTCTATATATGTTTGTCTTGTATTGCGCTTTTTTCGAAGGAAATTTGAGTGTTAGGCAGGTACATTGCTTGACAAGCACTAAAGCACAGTAGATTATTTTACTATCTCTTGTTCTTTGTTTCCTAATTTCAGAAAGACTGAGTATGATAGGTACTATCAGAGAATATAGTTACATATTAAAAGTTATTTCTATACTGATGATAAAGTTGAAATAAAAAGTAAAGTGTCACTAGGAAATCCAAAGTTTTTCGGTTTCGTAAAAAGGTTATCTATATAATACTCAAACGATTCTCTGCACAAAAATGCAATACAAAACAAAAATATATAGAATGATAGAGAATTTCAAGCTCTAGACCGATCGATAGTTACTTTTTTAATAATATATTTTCATAATAATGATATTGTGAAAAAAGAAGACAAGTCACGATCTTTGATACTTGCCAAATGAGGATCTGTTGACGGTACTCAAATTATTTTTCAATAAATGAATACAAGAGAATCGGTAATTTTGTAGAACTATACAGAATTTTAAGGTCTTTCAAAATATATATTTATTTTTCTAAGAAAGGATTCCTATAGTGATGAAAAATTGAAAAAACTCGCTCTGATGACAGTGGTAAAATCAAGTGCTTAGAAATTTGGTGATGAGAGTGCCTTCATTGCAGTCGGCTTATTTTGGTCATGAATAAGTGTAAAATAAAAAATAAATACACCGAATGATAGAAAACTCTAAGCACTTTCAGAATACATACATAGTTTTTTATTAAATATTTTTTTATAGTAGTGAAATATTTAATGTCTGAGATCAGCCTACAGATGTTCATGGGTCGCGGCTTAGAATGTGCATTCCTTCACCAGCGAAAAAGACTTGGATTATTATGTTAAACAATGCATCAGAAAAGGACTTTTAAAAAGTCTTTAAATGAGATTTCTCAACCTCACTCTTTTTCAACGATATTTCATTCTGGAGCGAATTTACAAAAGAAATAAGGATGAAGTCGGACATTATTTTTGACAAGGACGAGTGAAAGAACTCAGGATAACACATAAGTGTTGTTTATGAATATGGTTGAAATTTGCTGAAAAAGAAACGCATAAATGTTGGCAACAACGTATGTAATGAACACTCACATTCCATTTTTTAGCCCTCCGTACTCATTTTTCTCTCCTCCTTCTAAACTCTTCTATAGCCTTAAGATGAACATTCAGTTTTCAGTCGTTATTGTTCTATTCTTCGGAGTCATTTCATATGAAAAAAAAACAATATAAAAACCCTAAAAAAACTCAATTTTTAATCAATTAAAACCATACACGTTTTATCACTTATTCATCGATTGCCAATCAATTATAATGAAAAATTATCAAAATTTCATCGATTATTCTAATTATTTTTGAATAAAACAGATTTAAAATGGCACAAAAATAATTTTCAATCAATTTCATGTCATTATACGCGGTAGAATTTCAATCCAGTTTTGTTTGCTTTACATTGATTCTGATTAATTTCTTCATGATTTAAAAATCAATTAAAAGTGTATGATTATGATCGATTTAAAATCGATTTTTCGCATCACCTATCCTTTACATGCAATGTTTTGATGATGGTGTGAATAATATTATGCTATCTTGTTCTTTTCTTTTTAATATTGATGATGTAATTCTATTTTTTCTGCTTCGATTTTCGTATCTCATCCTATTTCTAAGCGCTCCAGATGGTCACAAATGAAGTACATGTATGAAATAAAAAAGTATCGATAGATAGCTAGTTGAATCTGGAAAATGCAAACAGCAACGGCTGTCTGTTTTTGTTAACTAGATGGCATCTGAACCAAACCCAGTGAGCGAATAGGGTATGAAGCATGAATCTCGACCTTCAAAAGAAAACGATGTGTAATAGGAAAGGAATAACTTTTTATACTATTTATTGTGAATGACGTTTCTACTAAACTTGTTTACCTTTTAAAGTCGTCTGCCATTTTTGGTTATAACTGTAAGTCTGAAAAGTTACGTTTCGAACAGCTAGTTGGTCGAAGCCAGGATACGCGTGAAAAGCACACATAATAAAATTCACTGTTACAAGAACTATATCAATACGTATCGACAGACTACTGAAGAAGACTATTGATTGATAGCTTATTGTCCAAATGTTTCTTTATCTATAATCAGCTGCGTTAGCAATTGTCTGATTCATGAGGACAAAGAGTAGCGGCTAACTTTTGCTGTTCCTTTCGTGTTAATTATCTTGAAGTTTTATTAGCTAACAAAAAGGTGTCAGTAACAGTCCATCGATGGATCATGTTGTTAAGATCAGCACCAAGTCTCGCTACATGATACCGCCATATTGAAAACAAAACCCATAAATTACTTTTAGTATTCGAGTTTTATCTTAGGTAAACGAAACATTATACAAAAATTCTGACACAAGTTGTATCATATAGGAATCGCAGCGTCTTTGATGACGTTTCAACAAGCATTACTCGATATTAGACCTGCGACAGTTCTCAGTTCAATGAATCGATTCTTTTTCGAGAACTGTGTCAAGGGAATAGTTCTCTTTTTAGAACTGGATCTAGTAATCAGTTCGTTTGTCAATAATTGGATACTTCTATTCTAACGATAAGTTTTTGTTAGCTTTATTTCGGTATATTTGTGCAGTTTACAAGCTTGGCCCATAATGGAACAATTAATAATCTAATGCGGAGGTTAGGATGAGATTTCTGGGGACGCGAGTTAATCCAAAAGGAGCTGCTATTTAGATCAGTTCCTATCAAAAGAACTGTTGGGACAGTTCCCAAGATCGAAATTGATATGAAACTGTCGTACGATCTACTTGATATGCCGTTTTTGAGATCATCGTGTCACAAAATATGGACTTTGGAAACGTAACTCAAGAAACAAAAAACAAAATCTCGAACGATCACTATAGAGAGCTTCGCACCGTAAATATGTTGCATACAGCACGAACAGGTTGGACACAGACTACTATGTAGAATATTTAATAGAAAAGTCATAGTAATTAAGTTTCGAATTGAATCGTATGTCCTAGTTTCTCTTAACCTTTTCCCTTGAAATCTGCCTAAAATCGGTTAAAATTTGTTTTGATCTGTTTTGATCTTTGTATTTCGTATTTTCTAGTGTGATACAGATGCTTGATGAGTGCTTATACTTTAAGGAATAACATGAAACACGTTTGCGAAATTCACTCTGTATTTCTGTATTACTCTTTTGCTAAACATATTCCATCTAATTATGAACTACTGCAATAAGTAATCGATTGCTGAAAAACAAGAAGTAGCAGCAACTGATTGATTCGTATCAGAGATATATAAACCGATCTGTTTTCGATTGATTTACATACACACATTCACACACCTTGATTCACTTCTCATAAGAAGTTCTGATGGAGCACTTCTTCAATTTCATATTTGTGTTTTACGCATAGGAGTAAATTGACACGTGTGAAACTTCAATACTAATTGTTTCAATGAAATGAAGTCGTGCATCATTGCACATATATTTAATTGAGCAACGGCAATTAACTCATAATGAACAAACAGCTTGCCTAGATAATTAAGAATGCATCGATGCGAGGAGAAAACAAATTACATAAAGGTGAACATATATAGTTGTGATGACAGTCCCAATAACGACCATCACTTTTGGCAACCGATGCAGCCACTTTTCTCTACCTAAAATTTTCATATTATCCAATATGTATGCATTGCCATCTTGCAATAGAAGTGTATTTCTGTTGATGATCTCCGAACACCTTTCGAGACTGTACAAAACTAAAACTATCTGAAATTTTCATTAATGGCCACATACAAACACTTCGTGTATTTCTGTGAATTTCTTCTTTTCATTTCATATTCTTTCTTTAATTATATACCTAGAAAAGAACTTCCTTTAGAATATTATCTCAAATTTATTATTATGTGTCTTACTTTTATATTCTTCTCATTGTATTCTTACTGTCAGTTTCAATTATCATTGAAGCTGTCAGGATTGTTTACTTCGTTTAAAACATCTATTTGTTAGCTTGATAAACTATTTCAAGTTTTGTGTAGTAAATAATTCTTTCGAAAATGTGCTAGAATTTCTATCAGCTTCATCCGAATCGATTTAAACTTTTGAACAAGTAGAATTTGATGTCTTGAGTTCAGAAATAGGCTTCAATGATAGTTTCTGGCTAATGACTTGAATAGCGTTCTCAGCTTAAACAACGATTTTTACCTTTTCATGAATTTAAAAATGATGGAATACTGAAATTTTCAGAGTCAATACTAGTTAATGGAAGGAATGTTCTCTCATGTGGAAAGTTCCTTCGGCGACTTTTTATTAGCATAAGGGAGGCCTTCGAATAAGTCAATTTTTATAGCGTTCTTAAGACTATTTTCGGATGTAAGTCATCAAATTCAACTAGCCCTGAAAGATGAAATGGTTCGGATGAAGTCGATGTGCTTGTGCTAAACTTCCTGAAGAATTACTCTGCTTTCCTTCTTTTTCACTTTTAGTTTCATCAGCATATTCAAATTGAAGTTGAATAAAGATGTTGCATTTGTGGAGCTTCCGGTGGGTGTTGTTACTGCTCATATTCAAGCAATTTAATATACAGTATACAAAAGCAACTTGGCCATCCTCAAATATTTCAAACTTGCACTTATTAGGTCTTTTTCACAACACGCCAAACACATCTGTATCTACCACGTCGTCTATTCATTCTCGCGCTATGTTTAAAGCAGCAGTATTACTTTCCCAAACATATAACATAAAAATTGGAGGACAATTTATTGGATGGCAAACTGCACAAACTGATGACAATGTGATAAGTGCTCTTCGAAGTACGTGCTTTGCAATCTCTACTTCTAATATCATAGGCATTGTGGGTCCTGCATTGTCAAGGGAGGCAAACATTATCGCTGATTTTGCAGAAAAAGTTAATATTCCTGTAATATCATATGCTGCAACCGATCCTGGTTTATCTGATCGAAATGCATATTTTCTTTTTCATCGGACAGTTCCTTCGGATAATGTAGCTGCAACGGCGATTGCACAATTGTTCATACGATTTAATTGGACATCATGTACAATTATCTATCAAAATGATGACTATGGTTCTGGTGGTGCAAGAGCACTAAGTGACACACTAAGTAAGAATAGTGTGACATTTATACAAAAGATAGCGTTTGATATTATTACACATAATTTTCAAAGTGATTTGAAAACTTCTTTAATCAATACTTTAACTAGAATTGTAATATTATGGGCTGAATCATATTATGCATCCTTAATTTTACAATATGCTCTTAATTATAATGTACTTGGTCCAAAGTTCACATGGATATTAAGTTCTAATATTCCATTGAACTCTTTTAATCAATCATTCTCTCAAAATTTAATTGGAATACTTACTGTAGAACCTACAGTAGGAGATGTTGTCAATGAACCAATAAATACAACATTATTAAATGCAGCATATAATATTTGGGAACAATATGAGCCTGAATCATTTCCTGGACCAACAAAAGTGAATTCTTTTGCACTATTTGCATTTGATGCAACTTGGTCATTAATTCAATCATTACAAAGACTTTGTTCGATAACAACTAACAATTCTTCATCGTGTATATCAATTCTTAACTCTTCATTCTGTTTTGATTATCGTTTTCTCAATGCCAACTCTTTATTTGATACAATTCTTAATACTAGCTTTCTTGGTGTATCTGGTCCAATACAATTTAGTGTCAATGTAACAGATCGGATGAATGGTAGTTATTATTTGATACAAAATGTTCAACCTTCTTCGAATGGTGTAGTCTATGTACCAATATTGAAATGGTCTGATTCTAGCAATTGGACACAATATGCATTATCAAATGTTATTGTGTGGCCTGGTAA